ACGGGGGTGGATTTGTAAATATCATATTGTTCTTAAGCTTTCCTTATTTGTATAGTAAGCTAGGGTTCTCACGCTTGTATATATACTTTGATATGTATCTAATAAAGGGCAAGCCGTTCTATTCTCATCTTTACAAGAAATGAAAATAAGATCATAATGTGATAAGCAAACAGATTGACTAACGAATCGTGACATCAACAAGGTAAAATTGAGCTATTATTGGTTATTCACCTGGTAAGTTGTGTCGAACTTATCATACATGAAACGTGTGATGATGCTGGTTTTTCCGACAGATTGATCTCCTAAGAACACCAGTTTATACTTGGCCAATGGTGACACAGACGCCATCTCTTAAGATCGGAAAAATCAGATTTTCAATCAAAGCTCTTCTTTCTTCTCGGAGATATTTTGGAAACGCATTCGATTCAGAGAGAGAGAAGCTGGAAACAAGTCCGCTCTTATTTTTGGTAAGAGAAGAAACCGCCGTGCACGACGACGAGGACGACTACTAAAAAGTCGATTTTACCCTTTCTCTTTTAGTTATGTCACGTTGGAACAACAGAACACTGAAAATAGAAAATAGAATCATCGATTTTATCCTTCGTTAAATCAATATGATTGAATTGACTCCATGGCCCAATGGATAAGGCGCTGGTCTACAAAACCAGAGACTCTGGTTTCGATCCCCAGTGTGGAGTCGAATTACCCATTTACTTTAAAAGGCTTTGGAGTCGCAGGACTACATTCGCCAGCAATTACTTTTTGTTTTTTTATGAATTGAAGAAACACAAAGAAGAGAACACAGGACTTCGTGTTGCAGTTTTTATATTATGAATGAGAGAACATAAAACAAAGACCACACGAACACACACCAGTTTGGTAAGCAACTTTAAATACTAAAAAAAAACCTAAACTTGATCAGAATTAAGAGTGCCTGAGATTTACGAGAAGTTTTAAAAAGACTCATTTAGACCAATGAAATGCTGCTCTCACCACCGGGAGGTCTTCTCGCGCCACCATAGTAATCTCGATATTCCGATTTCCCATCTGCGAATATATTGTGTCCGCTCATTTCACGCAATTTAGCTGAGCTGTGCATCTTCTCTGAATAACCAGGAGGGATTTTATCACTTTTGAAGATACCATTGCTTGTGAGTTGTTGAAACTTGGGGTCATGTATCTTCTTTGACGACTTCACAACATGTTCTTCACTAAACAGTCTGTTACGGCTTTGCCCCTTTTCAAAAGGAAAACGAAATGGTTAGTTTTCTAGCAATCCGACAATATCATCACAATGCAAGGACACTGCTACTTACCTTAGAGGCTTTAACAGATGCACGCAAGTTCCTTGGTGCAGATTCCTCCACGTTCTTATTTCCTTTAACCTCTTGTTTTGTTGCAGATAAGAAGCGGCGAGGTTGGCTTTCAGGAGGAAGAGGAGTTGCAAAGATGTCATGACCACTGATTGCTTTGGTTTTGGTGTTCGATATCTGCTTCTTCTTGCTCTTTGAATCTGCTTCGGTCTGTACGGTCCTGCTCAACTCCTTCTGCTTTGCAGCCTCGGATAAAGTGGTTGGTTTCTTAGGAGTCGTATTCTCTTCGCCGCTGAAAGATATCTGGTTATGCTGCAAAACCAATATCCATTGCATAGATATCATCTCCTGAATCCTTGAAAGAGTAGAATGGAAGAGATCAAGTACCTGATCTTGATGGTAATGGTTAATTGTCTTGTGAATTGGTTCATCTTTACCATTATCTGAGAATAAGTCACTGCCACACATTTCTTTCAGCTTGTGCCCAGAACAGTTCTTCCTGTATGAAATACTGAAAGGGGGACTTGGAACATGAACATCAATTTGTGAAGAAGACAAGACAATCACATTCAGAAGCAGATTAGACCTAAATTTCTTTCTATTTTGGCTGTATAATAGTATCAACTAATCAAACGAAAACCCTAAACTCGGAAAAAACAAAAAGATCGAGTCTAAAATGAAGAAAATTCAGTAATGAGAAACATTTCACCAGTAAAATTGCTTCTTCCCAATGAAGATGAAACATATAGAAATCAGTTTCAAGAGATGAAATCGTTACTTCTTATTAAGCGATTCCGCTTCATCGTTGGTGATCTGAGAGCCACCAAGGACCTCGCTGATATCATCAGACGCCTGAAAAGGAAAATCAAAACGGAATCGTCACTCGTCGGAACATAATCGAAAGCGAATCAAACGAACGATGATTACTCGTCGGAGAACGCACCTGGTTAGAGCGATTAGCGGCAGAGGAGTGGTCGGGATGACGGATCTCAGACCAAGAGAGTAGATCGGCGGTGGAATGATGCGGATCGTTCAACGGAATATTTCTTCTCTCCATAACGCTTTCGACTTTTCGAACTTGTTCTCACTCTTTGATCAAAAAGAATTTTCTGGACTGTAAATAGCGCTTGGGAGTGACAGAGCGG